TGCTGTGGCATCACAGCTCACACAGCAACCTTTTGCCCAGGACTCTGTGGGGTCAGGAGAAACCTCCCAGGCTTGTCCATTTAGGGACCCCGAGGGCCTCTGTTCCTCTGCAAACTGGTGCCAAGGTGTACAGATTCTGGTCACCAGGGAACAGGCTTCTTGGGACTTAAGAAACTGACTAGGCAGAATCCAAACGAAAGGACCCATAAAGCGGAATCCAACATGTTTTCTTTTATCACCATAGCTCGATGCAACCTCCTGGGCTCAAGGGCTCCTCCTGCCTCACCTTCCCAAGTAACTGGGACTACAGGTGTGTGCCACTATGCCCGGCCTGGCTCATTTTCCTCTTGTTTGTAGAGACTGGATCTCTCTTGCTCAGGCTGGTCTCGGACTTCTGGCCTCAAGTGATTGTCCTGCCTTGACCACCTAGAGTGCCAGGATTAACAGGCCTGGCCTGTATGAATTTTTAATATCTCAAATATCTAAGACCTCTACAGCACACTGATTGCCGACCATCAATTAATTGTTGTACACAGAATTTTCACAGCCTCTAGGCAGGACATTTATGTAAAGCACCTGGTAACAGCTGAAGGCTCTGGAACCTGTTGTGACTACAATGCACCTGGTGCTGTAGACCACCTTCACTTCTTTCAGCTGTCATTTAGACATTTGTTTAAATGCTGGCCTGTGTCCATCAGAATCACCAAACTTCTTCCGCACCTACCTGCTTTTCAACTTTATCTGTCGGTACATCCAGTCCTGTTACAGGATTCTCAGCCCATGTCTCTGCTGTTTATATAGCAAGGCCTAGAGTCGTGGACAGAGAGCTATGGACTCTTATGCTCAATGTGGTGTCATTGTGGACCCTTGTGAGGGGGGCTGGCTGCCATGCCCTATCGCCATGTGCAGGGATAGGGGAGCAGGACACTTGGCTCTGTTCACTTGAGTGTCCAGGGTCTCTTGGTGAAGCACTGACACTGCTTCTAATGGACAGGTAAGGGCCTTGAATGCCAAAGGCAAGGTTGATAAGTAAACAAATGACTGCAGTACGAAGAAGTGGGGGAATTATTTTTCTGGGACACATGAGGTAGTTGGAATCTGAGCCCATAGAAATTTTAGTTTTAATTTTTTTTGAGACTGAGTCTCATTTTGTTGCCCCTGGTAGAGCGCCCTGGTGTCCTAGCTCACAGTAACCTCTAACTCTTGGGCTCAAGTGATCCTCTTCCCTCAGCCTCCCGAGTACCTGAGATTATAGGTACCCACCACAAAGTCCAGCTATTTTTAGAGAGGGGGGTCTCACTCTAGCTCAGGTTGGTCTTGAATTCGTGAGCGCAGGTGATCTGCCCACTTTGGCCTCCCAAAGTGCTAGGATTACAGGTGTGAATCACCACGCCTTGAGTTTAGTTTTGCAGACAGAAAACAGTCTATAAATTCCAAAGGAATAAGAATAATTCTGGATTAAAACAAGTCTTACCTGGCTCATCCCTTCTGAAAAAAGAGGTTTGTGCCATTATTAGGTTTCTAGCATTTCAGTACAAACTCCTGTTAACAAAGTTGACACTTGTGTCAAGAGCCATTGTTCTTGAATTTCACTGCTGGAAACTGCCAAAGAAATGTGACTCAGGGCTCAGCGCCTGTGGCTCAGGTGGCTAAGGCACCAGCCACGTACACCCAAGGTGGCAGGTTCGAATCCAGCCCGGCCTGCCAAACAACAACGATGGCTGCAACCAAAAAAAAAAAAAAAAAAAAATAGCCGGGCGTTGTGGTGGGTGCCTGTAGTCCCAGCTACTTGGGAGGCAGAGGCAGGAGACTCACTTGAGCCCAGGAGTTGGAGGTTGCTGTGAGCTGTGATGCCATGGCACTCTACCCAGGGGGACAGCTTGAGGCTCCTGTTTCAAAAAAAAAAAAAAAATGTGACTCAGAAAAGTGAAGGAGGCTGTCCCAGCCAATATGCACTAGAAGCCCAGAAGCAGATGGGCATGGCTTCTTTCTGAGCTTCTAGGGAGAATGAGGGCTGCACAGTTGCTGTTCTTGAGTTGTTTACTTCACGTACACACGAGACTGCTACATTCCCACGCTCTGATGTAAATGTTAGGCTTTACCAGAGATATCTACATACACCCCTGGATGCGATGAGCAGTAATGTGAGCACTGCTATGTAGACACAGCAGATTCTATTTTTAATACTTTTTTTCTTTTAAGAGGCGAGAGTCTCACTTTATTGCTTCCGGTAGAGTGCTGTGGCATCACAGCTCACACAGCAACCTTTTGGGCTTAAGCAATTTTCTTGCCTCAGCCTCCTGGGACTACAGGAACTGGCCACAATGCCCAACTATTATATTTTTGTTGCAGTTTGGCTGGAGCCGGGTTTGAACCCGCCACCCTCAGTATATGGGGCTGGTGCCCTACTCACTGAGCCGTAGGCACCGCCCCAGTATTTTTAACACTTTATTGGCAAAACAACTTCCTTCCTCTCTACCCTTATAGAGAACTATCCTTTTGTTTCTTTTTCCTTGGGTAGGTAACATAACTTACCTGTTTACCCAAGACCTGTGAGCCTGCTACACAGGTAATTTGTAGCCTACCCCAGCACCCCCAGTGTGAACCGTCCCACACTAAGAACTGTCACACTGTCTTATTCAGAAAAGGCATGTGTTGTGACATAGAAATGGAGCATGCTGGACTTTGGATAAACTTTGCTGTCACATCTTCATTAGCTCAGAAAAAAAGTTATTACTATGAATAAGTGAGAGTTCCAACATCCAGTCTCTTTGGGGGTCCCATGCTGGAACTGTGCACACGTCATAGCTAATGCAGAAAACATCTAGATAGAATAGACCCAAACCCACATTGCCTGAGAAACCAGAAAGAATGAATAGGATGGAAGTGTTCAGTAGTGGTTGAGGTTTGGGTTTGGGAAACCCAAAGCACGCACTGTAATTGCCCCAACCTCCATTCAAACGAGCACAAATACCAAAGGGGAGGGGGGAAGACTCTCCTGTATCTACTGTGATGAATTTAAAACAATAGGAACATTTGCAGTTTTTCTGCCAAAGTTTTAAGGGCTCTGAAGACTAGCAACCACAATCCAAACAGTCATGAGTCCTGTGTGGGCACCTCCCCGCCAGCCAAACCCTCACGGAAGTAAGACCAAAAAATTACATTCCTTCTGTCTGGAATTTAATTTTTAATGAAAACATCACTAGAAAAATTAAAATGATAAACTGCTAGGATAATATCACTTCTACCCACCCATTATTGGCACCTACCCTTAATCTGAGTCATTTCGGAGTCCCTCTCCCATCCTGCCCCTTTTCATTAGCCATCTGCATCCTAAGGGCCAAGAAAGAAGTGCTGCTGATCAACAGAGTACACAAGTGTACTTTTAGCCTTTGCCAAATCCAGAAGCAGCTTTCAGTTCTGTGGATAACACAAAGCTTCCATTCTTTGACATCTCTATGCACCAAAGCTGCAAGTGACCAAGTCTGGAGACAGACCTGGGTCTTCCTATCAATGCTCTGGAATAGTTGTACAGGCAGGTGATACCACACTGGAGATGATGTGACAAAGGCTATGAAGGGGTCATTAAAAATAAAACCCCAAACTCCTCAGGATCTGAAGATAATGACAGAGGAGTCCAATACTCTGATCACTTTGGCCTTGTTGACAATACAGTGTGCACCCCTGAGAGTGCTACCCCCGGTGACTTCAAGCATACTGGTCAAGCACACAGGTCAAGACAGAGGCAGGCCATTGGGGCAGGAACCCCATGGAAGAAACCAGGACACAAGGCCCCTCCCCAACCTCTACTGTCAGTTGTCCTCAGCTGACTCCAGGCTCTGTTTGCCTCTGGACATCGGGCAACTTCTTAACTGGCTGGGGCTGCTTAAAGGTAAGCAGCCATGATTATACTAGCTACAGCTACAGACAGAACGTTGAGCTCTCTGGCAAAGACCACAGCACAGGGCCAGATCCTAACCAGACAGAGCAGCCCATTCTTTGCCCAGGAATTTAGAGCCCAGTTCAGGTGCAGCTGACATTTGTCCCCAACACCCAGTTGTCCCCATGGGTAAACCAAGACTATAATCACAACAGCAAGGACAGGATTGTGTTGCTTTTTTTCCTTTTTTTTTTTTTTTTTTGAAGGAGTGAGGGTATGGAAAATACAGCACACCAATGAAACAAAATGTCAAAAAAAATACAAAAAAATAGAAAATAGAAAAATGTATTTACAAGGAGTACATCACTATGATCGGAAAGCACAAAGACGCCTGCTGCTATAATACATGCATTGGTTTAAGAAGAAACGACTAAAAACCCTGCAAGGGAGAAGCCTGTAAAAAGAAAAAAAGGGCCAAAAGGTTTAAACTTTTCATCCCTAATTTGCTAACACTGATCAAAACCAAGTAAGAGTCTCCTATAGTCCATGAGGCTATCAGCACAAATGCTATACTGGTTTGTAACTGCAGGGTCAGTTGTGAAGGGAAAGACAGCAGCTTATCCATATACAAGGAAGCCACAGTAAACTGCTCGACATGCTCAAAATGACAGCAAGCCCCTGTCTGCTACACAGCGTGATCTTAGCAGGTTTTAATTTGTTTATTCATATATATCTATGTGTGTGTATATATATATATGTACGTATGTATAAAAACCGTGCCCTTGTTCACTGCCAACACAACATCTGGGTGGACATGAACTCATTACAACAAATTTTTATGTGGATGTTGTAAGAAGTCACTCAATGTCTGTGGATTTAATAAGTCACTTCACACCACAGAAAATATTTAATAAATCCAAAAAAAGGAAAGAAGAATATAACGACAGAAGAGCTTCTGTCTCAGTTCTCTGAAACTGAGTCCCCCACAGGAAACTGGTCCCAAAGTTCTTGAGGGTTCATTGAAGAAACTTCAGTTTGCTAATTTTTTTAAAATCCTTTTAGTGTTCAAAAGTTCTAGAACGACTCCTTGCCGTTTTCAGTTTTTAAATAGTCTTATCTCCATCTCCCCCACAAGGTAACAGTCTGGTGTAGACAGTCTGGCGCAGATCCATAAAAACGGGGGAGGCAGGAGTGCTGGGGAGGGGCCTGTCCCTTCTGGAAGGGGCTCCGCTTCTACAGCTGCAGGAAGAGAAGGAACCAAACAGGGCTCCAGCACCTCTCTCCTGCAAACAAGCTCCCTTTACATGAATGCAAAATCCAGTCACACGCAGTTCCTTAAACAGGTACATCTCTGGGTACCAGGCCAGCTCTAAGAGGAAACAAAACCATGAGTTGAGAGAAAAGGACTATGATGGCCACTCTGGTCACTTTCTGTGTGATCCATCATACTTCCAGGAATCGGGAGCTGCTCGACTTGGAGTGGAATGGCTCAGACCACATTCGCCGGAGGTCACCCTGGGAAAGAAGGGATTTCACTAAGTTACAGATTTAAACATGAGGCACACACAACTACAAGTCTATTGTGATTTTGTTTGAGAACAGAGTCTCACTCTGTTGCCCTGGGTAGAGTGCCTTGGCGTCCTAGCTCACAGCAACCTCAAACTCTTGGGCTCAAATGATCCTCCTGTCTCTCCTGAGTAGCTGGGACTACAGGTTCATACCACTCTGTCTGGCTAGTTTTTCCATTTTTAGTAGAGACAGGGTCTCACTCTTGCTCAGGCTTCTCCACCCTCCTCAGTCTCCCAGGCTGCTAGGATTACAGGCTTGAGTCACTGCACCTGGCCCATTCTGATTCTTGTTCTCAGATCAGAGCGTTTCTGCAGGTGAATCAAAGAGCATTCAAAGTTTACACTCTGAAAAGTAACCCACCACTTTTAGGAGAACTCCCTAGAAAAGAAGCTTTTCCTTCTAAGCAGGAAAGGGCTTTTACCAGCGCTGTCCTGAGATAAGTTCTATCATTTCTCAGATTATCTGGGCAAGCAAACTGACCTGTGTGTCCGTTTCCTCATCTGTAAAGTGGGGATGATAAATCTGGCAAATAAGGTAATGTTCTCTCTAAATTTAGTTTTTATCACACACTGCCTCAATACTATCCAGTCTTTCTTATTTCCTAACTTCAAGTGTTTAAAACAAAAAGCAGTTTGGTGGCAGGAGTGTACTGCCTTTAGGAGAAGCAGAAAGTCTCCACAGCTGGGCTCTGGGACTTCAGTTAATCACTTCAGGACCAATTAGTGTAGTGGCCCAAGCTCATCTGCATTTTCTGCCAATGGCTGTAAGGATGGGGAAGAGTCTGCTAATGCCAGGTTAGCACATGGACACATACAGTCAAGATCAAGGGCCACTCAGAACCACCTCCAGCAAGGAGAGGTTAGACCGAAACACAAGGCCAAGGTTACTACTCTTACAAGGGTATAATGGCTTTTTCCTTTTTTTCCTCTCACCTTTAAATAGGCCATTGTGAGGAGTGGCAATAGGGTAAATGGCACCAAATAGAGAAGGGCAGGCTGGGCGGCCCGGTGAATGCGAGAGGCCACAGTAGCAGTGAGCAGACCTGTGAAGAGAGAGGCACTTTGTGAGCAAGAAGAGGGAACTCCTGGTACCCAGCTGCTGTTTGGCAAAGTCCTGAGATTACACAGATCTAATGTGACATACTCCACCCTGTAATTAGGGTATGAAACACCAGCTAGAGCAATTAAAGAAACATGAAACAGCACAACTTTAAAAACCGAAAGCTCCCAGGACCCATGGCTAGTCTGAGGCCCACTACACACTCAGGTTCAACCATTCAGCCCCGAATGTGCCTGGCCTCTGTCTCCTCTGTGTGTGTGTGTGTGTGCGCATGTGCGTGTGCGTGTGTAGGCTGGACTTGAGAAAAAGACTGGGGTTCAAGTTCCAACTCTGCTACTTACAACAACTATGTAACCTTGAGTCTCAGCCTGCTCATCTGTCTAATGTAGATGGTACTACCGCTTACCTTGCTCCTCTAAGTTTCTGGATTGAAATGAACCCACATTTATGGAATGTGATGGAATGAGTGAAGTGCTAATGTTAAGTGGGGGGCACAGAGGTGAGAAGGTGCTCCTTTCCACTCACTCTGTGGGCACAGTGCAGGTGACTGGTATTCCTAGCTTGGTTACAATGGTCTCTTCCTGTCTGTATGTGAGCTGCCTAGAGAAAAAATAGCCTAGGGAGAAAGTAAATATCTGTTGAATAAAGGAGGAAATAAACACAATATTCATTAAATCAGTGGAAGATTTTAGTGGGGCCTGATCCACTGCACTGTGCAGTATTGTCCTTGGCTTTGAAGACCATGGTTTTCCTACAATGTCCTTCAGATGTCCCACAGTACAGAGAGCATCTGTCACCTCATGGCCCAGGAAGCTATCTTTTTGCTTGTCTAGCACAGTGATCAGAGTTAGTGCTCTCCTTCTGTCCAATGTCTAGAGCTAAGAGATCTGACTTAATTCTGAGGGAGGGAAGACAGCCAGAGAGGATCACCTGCAGTCTGTCTGGTTTGGTCTTACCTACAAAGTATCCGATGAGAGTGCAGTGAAAGTAGGAGACCTTCTGCATGCGCCCAGAGATGTTGGCGGGTCCAGAGGCACCACAGGAGTCCCCGCTGGCTTGTTTTTTGTAGTTGTCATAGCGAAGGACAAAGCACAGCAGGAGACCAGGCATCACAATGTCTCCGATGCCCAACATGGAGAAGTGACTGCCAGTGGAGCTGGAACGCAGTCACAGAGGTTAGGGATGACACCTCTACAATCCAATTTCTACTCCTTCTCTGCCATATCTGTCAGTTTTTTAAGTCAAAGAGCTTAACTGAACGGTAGATGGAAATCTCTACTGGTTGAACAACACTTGCTTTTAAGAGTTTACAGATTAAAAGCCACGAGAGTACTGGCAGCAGAGGTCTCCAACCTGGCTCCTCAATGAGAGTGCCTTGGAAGTGACTGTCCAGAGGTTTGCTTAGGTAAACCTCCCTTAGAAATGTCAAGCTATTCATTATTTGTGACACATTCACTGGTGAGATCTCAGATAAGCACCTGACTACAACCAGATATGGAAAATTAAAGCAGCACATTAATTTTGCCAAGATTACAGTATCAGTAACTATGTATTTTATCATTAGAACATATTTTTACAAATGGCTCAGAAGTGAAAAAGAACCAGAGTCTCCTGTTAATATCCTCCAGCCAATTTTGAAAAGTGAAAATAGTAAGATACAGTTGTTTGGTAACATTAATAAAAGCAGCACCTGGATCAGTGAGTGATAAATTTTGGTAAATTAATATCCTACTCATTTCCTCGTGTGTACAACGCAACCCTCTCCAGTTTAGATAAACACTGATGACAAAAGACACACTGACCAAGGGAGAGAACAGATAGGCATAGGAAGGTGGAGTGACCCCTGTCATAGGATGAGGTCCACACGCCAGTCCTACCTTGGGAAGACCAGTTTTCCAGGCAGAGAAAGGCGAGGAACATCACGCCCAACGTTCGGCCCCAGGTGGAGCTTCCGGGATAGAACATCAAGGGGATTGTCAGCCGGCTGTGTGGCCACCTTCACCATGACGTTGCTATTGAAGATGTAGGCTGAGAAAAATACCTGCCAAGTTAGAGTGATGCTTTTAACAAAGGGATCTGGAAGCAACCCGCTTTCAGCATCAGCGCTGTTTGTTTTGAAGAGCAGAGCCTCAGAATGCTGTGACATCAGTGCTTGCTTCCTCTGCATGCTTTAAGGAGAAACGTCTCCGCCCTTCTGTGTACATACAGATTTCTGAACTTTTCTCCACTTCCTTATATGGAACTGTGCCTCCACTGCAGGGAATCTTGTCCGCCTGTTACCTTTTCCACCCTCAGAGAAACACACACACTACCTACTGTATTATATCAACACCAACCAGCAGCCTGGGCATGTTTTCCTTCCTTAGAGACAGGGTCTTGCTACATTGCCCAGGCTGGAGTGCAGTGGCTATTCGTAGGTGTGACCACATAGCACTCAGCCTTGAACTCCTGGGTTCAAGTGATCCTCCTACCTCAGCCTCCCAAGAACCTGTGTACCTTTTTTTTTTTTTTTTTGGCAACAGTCTCATTATGTTGCCCTCAGTAGAGTGATGTGGCATCATAGCTCACAGCAACCTCAAACTCTTGGGCTTAAGCGATTCTCTTGCCTCAGCCTGGGACTACAGGCACCTGCCACAAAGCCTGGCTATTTTTTTTATTGCAGTTGTCACTGTTTAGCTGGCCTGGGCTCGAACCTGCCAGCCTCATTGTACGTGGCTGGTGCCATAACCACTGTGCTATGGGTACTGAGCCCTGTGTACCTTTTAATATATACAGATCAGGACTGGAGGGAGTAACTGGTGGTAAGGCAAGCCCAATTCTGGATAGTGAACAGTTTTCAGCTTCAATTCAACACAACGGAAAATAGGTGCTTCTCCGCAACTTACCCAAAAGACATCATAGATTAGAAGCCCTGAGAGAAGCAGGCAGGAGACCTTGAGGCTTGGCAGGCGGACGAAGGCGATCATGGCAACACAGAGACCCATGGCCAGAGCTGGGAGGAGACAGGAGACAGCAGTCAGCTTCTCAGCCTAACAGAGTTCACAATCCCCTCAAAATTCAAGCAGTCTTAAGCTCCAGGTTCAGACACTTTCACTTCACCCCACTGGTGGAAAAATGGTAGCTCATTTAGAACTGCTGGTATTTAGGGGGGCAATTCTCTTTCTAATGTTCTATACAGTGCTCAACTGATGGAGACCCAAGAGATGCTCTGTTTGGGACCAGTCGCAGTCCTTCTGGCTCTTGTGTCCTGCCTTTCCCAACTGGATGTGTCGTGCCTCCTCCTCTCATGGTTAACTCACATCCTAGATCACAACCCTGTCCCTTATACAGAAACATCATCCCAGTCAAGCAAAATTTAAAAAAATGATGCCCCTGTTATCTCAAGGTTACCGCTGGATGTTAGATGTCCAGTGATATGGATATTTAGAAGTATTTTAGAAGTATGTTAGAAGTATTTTTTTTAATCTAATGAGATTACACAAAATCTATTTTTTAAGCCAACATTCACCAGAGTTTAATTGCAATGTATTTTCTTTTTGTTTGTTTGTTTGTTTTTTTCTGTTTAGCATGCCCAGGCTGGGTTTGAACCTACCAGCCCTGGGGCATGTGGCTGGCACCCTAAGCCCTGAGCTATGGGCGCCCAACC